AGACATGCAATAAAACGTATGAGTCCACCATTACACACCATTGCAAGCATTTAGACGATGTCAATTAGAGTTCTGGTGTCAGCCCGAAGCACACGTCTGTATTTTCTTCTTCGAGCAAGGCTTCATTAGAGATGTTCTTTCATCAAACCAGACTTGCTCCCGAATGACCCTTTGAACAAACCAAATGACGTCTCTCCGAGTAAATGGTCGGAAAGGAAGTAACTTTAGTGAAGAGAAACATTGACTGCTTGACCCAGAGGCGCTAACCAACTGAACATCGAAATGACAGTAGCCAATCGTTATTAAAGCGTTGTCAGAAAGAGTCAGCTTAAGTGCATACAAATAAATTTTTCGACGAACCTCTGTGTGTGCGTGTTCTAGATGAAGATATGTAAAGTGTCGGGATGGTGAGAAGAACGCATTTAAACTTTACTATGAGAGTTTAACATGGTGGATAAAACGACATATTGTCGATATTTTGTTTAATTGGTTAGCTGGATAAATGCGACTGTGAATTGGTAATCGACGAGCATTTTCTGTCCGTAGTTGATTGTCTGCACAGACATAGCCCAGTGGTGGCAAAAGAGGGCTAATGTTGAAGATAAGATTCAGCCGAATGTATCTTTGAAGTCTTAAAGACGGCGATCCTTTTTCAGACCCTATCGACTGGCGCTGTAATATAACAAAGAGCTTTACCAAATAACAAAAAAAACACATCACTTGAAAACTTCCAACCACAGAAAGAACTAACATCTACAGCGCGTGTTACTAGGAGGTAAAATAATGATATAATCAAGACGTTAACTTTCCACACTACCTTAAAAAAAGGGTTTGCAAGGAAACTCCCATCAATACAAGAAAGAACGATAACAGTGGAATTCAAAAAATTTTATAAATCTAATCCAACAGTAACACTATTTAATGTTTGTCGAATGTTTCCTGTGTAAAAACGGTTATTTCAATATTAAGATTAATTATTATTTTTTTAAGCATTTCACCCCAAGCAAGGCGAGTGTGCCACTAGCACTCAAGGGGTTACAGAAAGTGGGAGCAAGAGTAAAAAAGCGTGAAAGAGGAAAGGATGGCGAGAAGGACGAGGAATAGATCAAGGTATCTGGAGATGTCGATTGACATTGCATCTGAATAGTTGGAGATTATAGCTATCAGGGAAGCAAGTAAGAGGAATGGAGTTCCACAGACGGGAAGTGCAAGACATGAAGCTATTGGAGTAGAAGAGACAGCTACATTTAACAGTTTCGACAGTGAAATGGTGGGACTGAGATGCCAAACTAGTAGACGCTTTTAAATTAATGCCATTTGGGAACCAGCGAAAGTAGCTCGTTCGGAGCAGTTACCGTGAAAGTATTTGTAGAAAAGACAGAGAGAAGCGACGGCACGTCTGTGAGAAAATGACTGTTATTAAGATAAGGCATATAGTTGAGTAATCGGTATCAAATCCCCACAAAGTTGGGATACGAATTTTGTTGCAGATATTCCACTCCATTGTCGCAAAGCTACTTTCCCGTGTCACAAATTATTCGAATTCTTAGGTGTAATGCTAAATGTACGTAAGGACATTTTTTTGTGAAAAATAGGAAAAATGATCAGCGCCTAATTCGACATAAATCCTTTTTGCCTAATAGGGATTTAGTAAGAGTATCTTGTCACGAAGCCGAAAGTATGGAGCACCCAGTGGAGATAGAATTCACCACTCTGTTGTGATTAATCTAACGAGATAAGTGTTCTTACTAATACACTAGTACCTCGACCGTTTTGCACAATTTGATTTATTTTAAATTAAGGACTAATTTTAAAAAAAAAAAAGAATTGTATCAGAACATTGTACTTGTCTTCTTGTGCAGATTATTTTGCCCATTTCAAAAATGGAAGACCAAAAGTGCAATAAAGATGTATGTCAACTGACATCCTTATAGAATCACACCGGTGAATTGTACACATTATCTTATAACGGAATCATTCATCATTATTTATACGGTTGGCGCATTTAAGCCCGTTATGATCACCACTCCATTTCACATTTGTGGTTCATAGTGACATTCAAGGCAGAAAATAGTATGCTGTATAACTTCCACACGTGCGGTTAGAGACAAATTATCCAATTGTAATTCTTCCAATATCTTATATTTCTTAGATATACCTTCAACTGTAATTGAATCAATTCGTCTTCTATAGTCAAATCTTGAGTTCCCAGTTTCTCAAATTCGCAGTATCTGCTTGCTTCACTTAATCTGTAAAGATATTGTATAATTGATTCATCTTGTTTCTGTTTAATGAACAGCAATTTGGTTCTTTCCGCTATGACAAGTTTCTTTTTAAGTCGTAAATTTCTTTTTATCATTTCTGAAATTTTGACGAAAGTCAAATTCTCCAATTGTTTAGGGTATGCCATAATAGAAACCTTCATTATAGCTTCACAACCTGCCGAAGTTAGGAAGAGATTTGGTTATTTCATTTCTTTTCTTTTTTTTTTTTCGCGCTTTCGCCTTGTTGTCTTTCATTTTTTTTTTAGCCCTAGCCTGGGCAACAAAACACCGGATCCAAGTCTCAACAAATTGCGGTTCATCTCAGCAACTTAAACATCCTATCGGCGACGCCATATTGTTGTATAGTGTTGTTCTACAACACGTGATCAGAAATCAACTTCCTTCCGTGTGAGTCTTTAGTCTATACTTTCTCCTATAACCAACATATGCAAATGGTTAAATTTCTATTACGTAGTGCAATGTCTTGCCGCTTCCATTTGCACTGGGGATGTTGAGGTCATCCTTTCCCTCCTATCAAAAGTTAAAGAGGCGGGATCTGCAAAATAACAGGTGGTTTGAATTCAGAGTTTTTATTATGTTAACTTATCACAGATTGGTTGCCAACGAAGGCTATAGTGATCAGTCAGTCCTGCTATTTAATCACAGGTGTGCGGGGGGGGAGATATAGATTCATACCTTTCCCGCGTATGTGAATATGCAATGAAATCGACTGGAACTTTTTGAACATATTATTCAAGCTGTTGTTATTATCTCTACAAGAATGGTACTGCAGACGATTTACAGAATAATGAAAACACGTCAACGGAAAATGTAGCAATTCTCAAGAACCAATTTTGCTAGCAAAATAAAAGCAGGTTGCAAATTAAGCGATTTTCAATTACCGAAATATGATTTGATTTTCTTTTACTCTCAGTAAATTACACGCTACTTTTTAATCATCGTTATATTTTCAAATTTTCTTTTTCATTTGTGTTCGAATGAAAGCGAGGCTTATATTATCACGTTCCCTGTATCTCTCACTAGTTTAATGTAAAATTCGCCAGCATTTATTGATGAAATATTTAATTTGTCTAAAGTCAAAAGCATGATTATTCCGTCATCAAATTTTTCTTCCTGCCTATACAGAAACTTTCAGAGATATTTCCTAGCACGTAAGATTGAGTGCAAAAGGTTCCAACGCCTTTTTGAATTGGCCTTTCACTTATTGGGGTTGGCTCCGAAAGTAATGCCTCTAATCTTATGACGTTGACTTACGATGTCAGAAAAGAATGTTGGTTTTGCGGTACGAGTTGAAACATTCTTTCCGGTTTTTTCTTTGCTCATAATTTCCAGTAAATCCTAGAGTATCTAGTTCAACTATATTTATTTCAGTTCAACATAATTCTCTCTTCAATGTTTCTTACAATTTTGTCCTACTAATATTAAAAATATTGATGACGATCCGAGAATTACGTTAAAACAAATTTAAGATGCAATTGTTATTTATAATGAATAATTTTCATTTGATTTTTCCCTCTATCCTTCTGTTATTTCTTTCTTTCGTTTGTTTGCCCGTCTGTCTTTACTTTCTATCGTTTGGCCATCTATCTTCTGCCTTCTTTCTTTCTTTCCTTCTTTCTTTCTTTCTTTCGTTTGTTTGCCCGTCTGTCTTTACTTTCTATCGTTTTGCCATCTATCTTCTGCCTTCTTTCTTTCTTTCCTTCTTTCTTTCTTTCTTTCTTTCTTTCTTTCTTTCTTTCTTTCGTTTGTTTGCCCGTCTGTCTTTACTTTCTATCGTTTTGCCATCTCTTTTCCGCCTTCTTTCTTTCCTTCTTTCTTTCTTTCTTTCGTTTATTTGCCCGTCTGTCTTTACTTTCTATCGTTTGGCCATCTCTTTTCTGCCTTCTTTCTTTCTTTCTTTCTTTCTTTCTGACATTTTTTTCATTCTTTCTTTCGTTTGACCGTCTGTCTTTAAAGAAATGCGAAAAATGGACAGACCGTCAAACGAAAGAAAGAAAGAAGAGAGAAGAGAGATGGCCAAACGATAAAAAGTAAAGACAGACGGACAAACAAACGAAAGAATGAAAAAAATGTCATTCTTTCTTTCGTTTGACCGTCTGTTCTATTTTTAAGCGGTTCTTCTTTCTTTCTTTCTTTCTTTCTTTCTTTCTTGTGTCCGCCCGTCTGCTTTTCATTCTATCGTCTGTCACTGTTCTTCTTTTTTTATTCGCTTTTCTTCTCTTTTTTTCTATTTTTCTCTTTCTTTCTTTTATTCTTCTGTTCAGTTTTCAGTTTTCTTTTTTTATTTAGTTTTTTCTTTCATTTTTCCATGCATCCGTTTTTGTTTTCGTTTCATTCCTTCTTTCTTCCTTCCTTCCTTTCTTTCTTTCTTTTTTTCTTCCGTCCTATCGCCATTTCTCAAATTCTCTCTCGTTCCCTCTTTTTGTTGGTTTTGATTTTCGCCCTCTCTCGACCACCTCAGTCTTTCCGGTTCTTTCTTTGCTCATAATTTTCTCTATTGGACGGTCTTCTTTTATCGCCTCTCTTTTTATCGTCTCACTAAACACGTATCAAATCCTGTGATCTATTTGCTTACCTGTATTTGCGTCTACACCGTCTATTCCATGGAGACAGCACAGCGTCTATCTTCCATTCTGATCTCTTCACCTATGCCTCGAATACACGCAGTTCAATAATTTGGTATCTTCCCTGTAGACTGGGGCAGTCCAGTTTGGCTCATAATCTACCTTCGACCGGCAGAGGTGACCGTCCTCCATCTTCTGTACACGAAATATCGCTGATCGGTGAGTCTTCTGACAACCAAGACTCATACAGTGAAAGATAGATAGATAGATAGATAGATAGATAGATAGATAGATAGATAGATATGAACAGGCTGGGATAGATAGATAGATAGATAGATAGATAGATAGATAGATAGATAGATAGATATGAACAGGCTGGGATAGATAGATAGATAGATAGATAGATAGATAGATAGATAGATAGATAGATAGATACTCTCTTCTTTTAGAGATAGTGGACGTTTGTTAGCAATTCTTGTTTTAAATTCTGAACTCTGAAAAACGCTTTGTTCTTTATTTCCAATGCATTCCTTTAGTAAAAGCATTAATAATGCATTTTTATAGTAAACATTAACGTTATAACTATAATACTGCCATTATGTCAGTGATGGTTGGACTACTTCCTTTCTATTGACCATTTCCTGTCTATTGTTCGCCAAAGCAATTTTTGATCTGTTATCATCCTTCTTTGTTCCTGTCCTGCCATTCATCCATTCACACAAATATTTTAAGCAGTTTACTTGTTTTTTCCCTTGGCTTCTTTTGCATTCAATTTATCCAGTAAGTGTTAAATTCTCCAAGCCCTTTTTTCCTCATTGTATACCCCAAATTTCAACTGTCTCTTTCTGATTGTAATTATTCAACACGAACGAAGTCACTTCCGCAGAAACTTCTATAAACATAAGGAAAAGTATTTTTTGTAATATATCTTATACTTATTTTCATCCGTGGAATGTTTGATTTTTCAAAATTTGCACGTATGAAAGCAGATGCCTAAACATTGATTTTTACAATCGAATTCCTAATCCATATTTTCATTATATATATATATATATATATATATATATATATATATATATATATATATATATATATATATATATATTGACTTCAATGTTCATTTTATATTTACATACGCTCTATCTCTGATATTGAGCACTTTATCCCATAAATATATCGCACATTACAAATATATATATGAATAAAAGATAAAAACAAATTTATCCCAGCCGACGCTAAGATAAGTCTTAAAGATAAAATTTTGAAAAACCAATAACATTTTTACTCTTGCATATAAATGCTTTTAACAAAATAAAATCCTCACATTTGACTTGATAAAATCCCTCAGAGGACGAATCGTGTCAGCTAAGATAAGTTTTTGTCTTTATTTATATTGTCCTTTTACAGATATACTCTATAAGAAATTTTATATATATATATATATATATATATATTACAACACTTCGCAGTGTTTGGATATGTATTGATGTATATTGTATTTTTTCTAACATAGTCAGTTTTGTGTACTCAGTGATGAAATGTGACTCTAAGTGTTTTTGAGACCAGTAGATTTCTTCTGTTTTGATTTTGATTCTATGACATTATAATGATTTTTTTTATTTTTCTCTGTATTTCAACTCATTGCCTTACAATTTCCAAACAATGCTGCTTTCTCAGAGTATTAATTATTTTGTTCTTTCTTTACTGTTTAGTGTTGTCCATTCAATTTTTTCTCTTCTCTTTGTCATCCGTGTAATGACAATCTTGAGTTCGACTCTAATATAAAGGAAGTCAGTAATGTTGGCAATATATTATAATAGATTTTGAAAGTATTACACATTTTATAATAATACCTCATATATGAAATATTTATATATGTGTAACCCTATCTAAAAGATTTAATTACAATTATTATGGTCACGGCACTTTATGACATTACTCTCAAAGAAATGGCTGAGTACGACAACGGAACAAAGGTCTTATTAACTTTAATTTTATAAAACAAACGCGAAAAAAGTAATATAAATCATTCATTTTCTTGAAATGAGATGAGAACCCGTATATATATATATATATATATATATATATATATATATATATATATATATATATATTTAAAAGAAAAACAGACCACTTTAAGGTACCATTATAATAATTTATTTCACCAGAGTCCTTTTAAAGGACGCCGGATCATCAAATAGCACTTCCAAAAATATATATATATATATTATTGTAGCACACCTACGGACGATAATGGGTATGTCCCCATTCACATAAAACTGCATATTGGTCTGCAGTTAGAGATTCGTCTCCAGTTATGCTGATCAAACTCTCTGCCTCCGGGCAGAGAGGATCTCCAGAGGAGGTTATGTCGAAGTGCAGAGTCTCGTTTTATGCGGGGAATTTTTCGCTGAGCCTACGTGCTCGGATACTCCATATTAAATTCGGCCTTGTACCACATTTGGCCGCGTGGAGCGGTTGATAGATATCCTGCAATTGGAGATTCGTCTCTAGCTGTGCTGGTCAAACTCCCTGCCTCCAGATACAGAGAATCCCCAGACGAGGCTATGTCGAAGGGCAAAGTCTCGTCTCGGGGAACAGCTACCCGACCCTATTTTGGCCGAGCCTACGGGCTCGAATACCCCACATTAAATTCGGCTTTGTACCACATATGACCATGTGGGGCGGTTGGTAAATATCCTACAGTTGAAGATTCATTGTGGAATTCACTTGACTCACTTCTAGTAGTTGACTACTTCTACGCGCCACTGGCAACTCTTAATGTGTTGTTCTTGTCCTAAGTATTATCGTTCATTGCCAACCTTCGTTTGCTCTTTCTATTCAGTAACCCTCCCTCGGTTACAAAATATATCAAGAAGCTATATAAAGCTATTTAAAATAATCTAAATAATATGATACTTGTTCAGATCTAGGTAAGAGGATAGGGTCATGGATTCAATCCCTTGTGTATATATGGTTAGATCAGAAATTATCCATACAAGTATAAAATTTGTAGTTTTTAATGTATAAGCATTTTTTGCAACACGCTTACATGTGTTGAAATCCGACGATAGATTAGAGTTGTTGAAGTTATCACAAACATTTTTTGTCGAGATTTATAAACTTTACCTTTCGTTCAATTTCTCAAACCAGTCGATGAAATTTGAATAAGCTGATTTGTTTTGTGAAAATACTTTGACGAAAACACTACTTCGCAGTTTTTACGCACCCTCCTAAAACCAAAAGACTTTGTAGCCCCTTGCCTGTTTGCACTTCTCCCCAAAATTTGATTTTCCATCGGCCAATGTATGGCTAATTTATAGGGTGTGACAGACGGACTAAAGGATGTTACAGAATTATATATATATAGATTTCCAATATTTTTTCTTATCCAAACTGACATAGAAAAAAAGAAGAGTGAAAGAAATAATACATTATGAAGATGTAGGAAAGAAATTAACTGAATTTTTATTTGGCATTTAATCACAAAAGTCATGATAAAAATTAATCGTAACCATATCTATAATTAGCTGCCCTATTATTATCTTAACAGCTATTGCTTCTATTAATCGGTCCAACTGACTATTTAGGAGCCGTCGATGGTTATGGTAACACTGAAGTCACAAGTCATCGTGACCGATTGTTTGAGCGTGTTAACCTTATTCAGACTGTTGATCACGCTAGATACTGAGCTCTCTCCCAGAAAATCTAAATAAGGTCCGCTCAGCATAGTAGCAGTATAAACCACAGGTGAGCTCTGTGGGTGTTGAACAGACACAAATATGCCTGAGCAGGCGTCTGCAACACGGATTGTCTAACCACCTTAGTAGGCACATGTACTCGGGCACAATCGTCTAACCATTATCTATATATATATATGTGTGTGTGTGTGTGTGTGTGTGTGTGTGTGTGTTAATTATTTTAGTATATTGCAAACAAAAAAAACAAAAACATGTTAAAAATCACTACACGATTACAAACATGTTTCAACACCACAAATGTGTCTCCTCGGACGATGTTTTGATATCCTAAAATGATTAATATTTACTAGCTCTACTCTGTATTGAGCCCTCTTTTAAATATAATATATATATATATATATATATATATATATATATATATATATATATATACAGAATTTGTACTAAATCGGTCCTAAAATAGAATCGACGTACAAAACGTCAGGAACTTGATATAATAGGTATTACGCAGTGTAATCTTGTTGTGGTCGCAGATTACTTTCGTATTCGACTAACTGTCGACTACTGTCGTCCGACATCGACTCCCGTTTCTCTTACTACTCCTACTTATATTAGGAGGGAGAGTCTATTAACTATAGAATAGGTGTGTTTCACCATAACAAGAGTAGAGCTAGTAAGTATTATTTATTTTAGTATATTATATTGAATCAATTGCTAGGTTTGCTGCTAGGAGAGCTTTTTCACTGTGTCGTACTAGACAATTTTTCACATCAGAATCCATCTTGCACATTGATAAGGTTACCATTCGCCCATGCTTTGAATATTTCTGTCACTTCTGGTCTTATACTTTTGCTATACATCTAGAGATTCTAGATACAATACAAGAATCTGCAATGTTATTGGTCCTAACCAGGCATCTCGGTTTTAGTCACTTTCACATAGCCGTAACGTACTTCCCTGAGCGTTTTCTATAGATATTTTCATGGTAATTGTTCTGATCAGCCTACCTCTTTCCTATTAAGACTGTATGAATTGAAGCGCAGTACTGGGTCAGCATTTTACAATTGAAATGGCTAGATGTAAACGTAAGTTCTACGCTCACCTTTTCTTCTCTCACACTTCTCGCTAAAGGAAATCTCTCCTGGCTTTTTGCTTTCCAGTCAACTTTGATTTTCAAAGATGTAAGCCTAATACCAATCGTTAACTTCTGTATTCTTATTCCTGTTCTTTTATTGTTCTCGCCCCTTCACAATGTTTTTTTCCCTCATATTCCCTCAAACTTGGTAACCTCTTACGTCTTAGTGGCTTTATTGCCTTGCTTAGGGGGAAAGGGTATATCCTATAGACAAACCTATGGTGCATAATGATAGGTGTTGCTGCTATGGTTTCCGGTACAAGTTGTTTTTTTAACGAAGTGGAGTTACTGGCTTCACGCCGAACTGAATTTGAATTCATATTTTTTTCTTCTCCTAGACTGGTTGCCAACCAAGACTAGAGATGCATTTATACCTTTTCCCTTCTGAGATGAATTTATGCATTTCGCATGTTAAAGTAAAAGCAATTAATCTCAACTGGAATTTGAACTCTATATGCCAGTAGCAGTTTTTGTGCCGATAGCTACATATGAAGTGTGGGTGTATGAGTGGGTGGGTGCGCAAGCTTGTGTGTCTTCAAACGTGAAGCTTATAGACATGCATCAATGTCAGTGATGTGTGCATATTTTGATAGAGAAGTATGCTTTGAGACTTCCAATCACAAACCTGTGACATTAGCCGTTAGTGTATTCATTTATTTTGATCAGGCCAAAGTCTGGGCCCCAAGAATTTGGCCTGGGTTAAATTAGCGAATCTCAAATCCTCATTGGCTGAAGTCCACCGAACAACGCGCCAAATGTCTTCCTTGGCGACTGGCCAATCAGAAACAACTTGGTACTGACGTCATTTAATATTGATGACGACGTGAGGACAAGATTTAGGATGGTAAAAGAATTTCAGAAGAAGCGCTGAAGTAAAATGGAAATGAGAGAAAAGAAAGAAAACGAAAAGAATGAAATGGGTGGAAAGAAAAGAAAAAGAAGGAAAAAAAGAAAATGCAAACAAAAGAAACAACAGGATAGGAAAGAAAAGAAAAGAAAGAAAAGGATGGGAAAGAAAAGAAATAAAGAAAATTTAGCAAAAAAGAAAAGGACATGAACGAAAGAAAGAAAGAAAGAAAGAAAGAAAAAAAGAAAGAAAGAAAGAAAGAAGAAAGAAAACGATAAAAGAAAAGAATAGAAAAGCAAAGAAAGAAAATGAGCGAAAAAAACGCGCTGGAGAGATAGAAAGTTGTTTGAAGAGAATAGGAAGTAAAATCCAAATATATATATATATATTTATATATATATATATATATATGAAGAAATTTTGAAAAAACAAACAAAAATCCTTAAATGTAGTTAAATGAAAGAGGATTTTTGTTTGTTTTTTCAAAATTTCTTCATTCTGTCGGATTTATATCCATTTACACTTGCTTATATATATATATATATATATATATATATATATATATATATATATAATGCAGTATATCCGTTTTATATATATACTAGCAGCATGGCCCGGCGTTGCCCGTGCTTGATTCAAAAATCGTATGACTCATACAGCAATCGCTATCACTTGACTTTAAAATATTTTTGCCCTTCCTTGCCTTTTTAAAGGAGTGCCTTGCCGTGCTGATGTTGCTACATGCCTTACTTCTTGTCTATCACACACTGCGAATTTTTTCTAAGCTCTATACTAAACATTAAATCTGTTACGAAAAACGAACTAAATAAAATGAACACAAAACGATCAGCTTTAAAAAAAGGGCTCGTATCTGGAAAAACCGAATGAAAAAAGAATGTTAACAACAAATACTTTTTCACACCCAACCCAGTTCTGCGGAATCAGAATCAACGTTGAGTTTAAGCAAGCGAATGAGTCAATTGGAGTAAAGTGCCATGCAGATTTAAATTTTTCCCACTTGTGACGAATGCAGCTATCGATTTTTTTGGCATGCAAGTTATTATTCGTGTCAGTCAGCTGTTGGCTCTCACGCTGGCCGATAGAATCTTTCTGCCGATTCGTGGCAGCCAGCTATTGGCTCTCAATCTGGCCAGTACAAAATGGCCGCAAACTACATGAAAACTGCCGTAGAAGCATGAAAAAATCGATTATTTCCACTATCGATGGATGTTGGGAAATGCAAAGTCGGTCTTGGCCTTCCCACTAACTTGGAGCATGTGCATGTAAATTTTGGTGCAAATCCTTAAAAAATTGCGGCTGTGCATACGTTACACACACACACACACACACACACCCTGTCATTTATAGATAGAGATCTGTGTGTGTGTAATTGTACGTCACCCGAAGAAACCACAGGCAAGATTTATGACTTAAATTAGATTTGTCTCGCAGCAAATGGATTGTAATTATGTTTTAGTTTAGTCATAATGTTTTGTTTTGTTTTTTAAATTAAATATATCTTTCATTTAACGGAAAAATGTGGACTAGTTTAAACTTAAAATCTATAAAACCTTATAGCTACGGGTACTCATTACTGGGAGCAGAGAAAAAGTTACTAATTTCTGCGACACGCTGAGAAAACCATAATTTCATATTCCACTCACTTTGTTGTTACTATCATCCGAATAATGTCAGCAACATCGAAACTAAAAGGCAGATTTTAAGTCGCGACCTTGTAGATTAATTGAGCCGACTTTTTTTATATTTCGTTGTGTGGGTGTGCGCACGCGCGTGTGGGTGGGTGTGCGAAAATGATTCATGACAGGTACTATATTCTTAGCATTGAATCTACGAGTGTTATCCAATTTTAGGTATGATGTTTAGCTGACTGAACCTAAGACAGAACACACAGCAAGGTTGACGGGGATAGCTTCAGATTATGCATAGCCCAAGCTCCACTCTCAGAATTCTTCAGAAACAAACCTTCCAGAACAGCCTCCCTCATTACTGAATAGGTTTTTCCAGGCATGGAAAGCTTCAACCGCCACAAAAAAATACCAAAAAGAAGGACCGAATTACCTTGGTTAACACCTGAACGTACTGCAGCCATAGCTCATCGTAACCATCTTTATCTGAAGGGGCGGGTGTAACAGAATGCTTTCAGAATTCTCTAGCATTCACTGCCATATAGGAGGATTGATGTTGCATAGCAGTTCATCACTCTTTTTCTTTGTTTCTAACGACATTTTCCCTTGTCTTTATGCTTTACTGAGACGATATAATTAGATAACAAGACGGAATCAAATAAAATCCAGAAACACGATGTTTACTGAATTCAGAACAAAGTCCTTTCAAAAGAGATTTCCCAAAGACTCTCCGTTCTTTTATGATCATTCTTATTCCACATAACTATTCCTACTTCCTTTTCATCGCATAGAATCATTATTTTTTCCAAAGAATCGTCCTTATTCCACAAAATCATTCTTATTCAGCAGAATTATTCCTATTTCATAGAATAATCCAGTTTCCACTTACTGTGTCTAAATAGTAAGTGTCCATAACGTAATAACATTAACAGAAACCTCTGAGAGAAAGCTTGCATATTTAAGTGCCTCTTCCGCTTTCGGTTATTGGTATAAAATGCACAGGCTGCAAACAATGTTGCAAAAACGATCATTTGATTTTGTCCGCTGATAACTGAAAGCATCATGCCAATAAGGGCTTCTTAAAATCAGTCAGTTCTGTGCCATGCGTGATACACACTTTGGCGATCTATATCTTTCGATACATAACTGACGATGCAGATTTTTTTCCCGCAGTAGGTTGCCATTTCTTTTTGCAGTAGACCAGTTGCCATCCAAGGCTATAGAATCCCGCTATTTATCCATAGCTAGGGGGAGAAGAATATGATTCATACCTTTCCCAAGGGTATTAGCACGTCAGACAGTCCGTTATGTGTCATAAGTGATACACGCTTAGGCGATCATGTATCTTTCGATACATGACTGACGAGACAGATTTTTTTCCTGCAGTAGGTTGCCATTTCTTTCTATGGTAGACCAGTTGCCTAAAATACATACCCCAAAACAAGGCTTGACAGAAAAATGATAATTTTACGTAAAAACCTACCAACTGGCTAGTAACAATGGTGACGATGTAAATGGTTGATGTGTTGTCATGAAGTTTTCTTGTGACAATCTTCTCCAAACTTTTGTGTCTGAAGTGATCACAGCCAAGAAAATTAATAAAAAAAGGAGACATTTTTTTATAAAAAAAAACAAACTACCGTTTATGATTGCCTTTTGAAAAGGGCCGTACCAAATTTTCTTAAAGATGAAGAGACCCGGAGCAACATAAATATAGTTTTAAGGATACAGTGAATGGAGCCCGTCAACAACGAAGACGTTTACCGAAAATGGGGAAAAAAGACAATTGGAATAAGAAAGAAACTTATAATTTCTGTGACATATAATCAGGAAAGGTGGCTTGGAAAATTTGACAATCAGAGGACACATTGAAGGTAAATGGTGCTGAGGGAAATACTGACTTGCCTACCTAAGAAGCTTCAGTAAATGGATAACAAAACAATGAATGGGAAAGATGATAAATTTAGAAACATTGCTAAGAGGTATGATAGGAAGCTGTGTAGAGCCATAATCTCTCACGACCTCAAGGGATATGAAACATAAAAGATCAAGAAAAAATATGAAAGATCAACCGACGCCACCTACAATTTTACGGATAGATCTTCATATACATACATATATATATATATATAATTTTCGGGATAACAACTGAGACATTACTCTATTTAATGAACAATTTAGTTCATGTCACATTGACTGATAAACTCCTACAACAAAAAATTCTGAAATTGCCATATTAGTAAAAAAACACGCTCTCTTAAATTTAAAAAAAATCCAACCTTAGCGTTACGACTGCACATTCCAAGTTTGTATCCGTTAACAATAACACATTAAAAAAAATAAAAATAAAAATAAACATATTTCGATTCGAATTTAATTTTTTCGTCTCGGATGCTACCGGATTTTACTAAAAACAAAATAATTTTCATGTTTGAGGATGACTGAATATACAGTTGAAAGTACTTGCGTATTAAAGAAAGACCTTATACAGCTTATAATTATTAAAAACAAGGATCGTAACAATCATCGAGTGATTTGTAGGTTAATGCAACTTTAAAATTTTGTTTGCGAAAATATTTCGCCCTTTTATATCATTAATTTTACTACTTTTTTTTCTACTTTTTGTATGAATGATTCTCTGTAATATATATATATATATATATATATATATATATATATATTTATACAGGGTGACCCAAAAACGGGAATTTTTTAAGTGCGTATTGCTAGTCATGAGCAAGTGGCAACACTGCGAGACAGTAACCTTGAGCAAATAAATATTTCGCCATTTAGAATTCAAGATGAAATTCACAGTATCCCAGCTGAGATGTTGCAGCAGTCAATGAGGAATCTCAACAGCAGATTTCAAGAATGCATTCGTACAGGAGGACGCCATCTACAGAACTTAATTTTTTAAAAAGAAAATTCCATCATTGTTTCTTAAATGGCATGTTTTAAGGTTTCAATTACTATGAATAAAATATTTTTCTTCCATCACTCTTGGTTTTATTGGATTGTTAAAAAGTTCCCGTTTTTGGGGTCACCTTATATATATATATATATATATATATATATATATATATATATATATATATATATATGAAAACCAGAAATGCAAGCAACATAGCTAAAGATAACAGAGGTAATTCCGTTTTAAATTCTGCAAGAAGAAATGTCACTGTTTATGCGTACATGGGAGAATCGGTCTCACATTCTATCACCGTCACTAGCGGAAGTATACGGTATATTTTCAAAGGAGGAAAGACAAATCAGACAGTTTAATCTTTCTGTACACCCGCGAATAGTAATAGTAATCCTAATATTAACGCGTCCTGGGTATGACGATAAACTACATCCGCCTCCTGGGTAAGACGATAAATTACACCCAACAACAAGGCCTCTCACTAGGAGGTTTTGAGAAGCATAGAACGACCTCTTAATTGCTGGTGTTGCCAGGTCCACCATGATCCGTGGTGGTAGCACCTGTTAAGGTCCCAGCTATGGGCAAATAGTTAACCCACAAAATGGAGTCAAAACACTACGAAAGTGTAAAAACAGGTATTAATACTAGCAATACATTTTTGTAAAAATATTACCAGCAATGAATTTTTGAAGAGAAATTACCAGCAATATATGTTTGAATAAATATTGCCAGCTATTCATTTTTGAAAAAAAAATTATTACCAGCAATATATTTTGTGAAAAAATACACAGATATATATAATTAAGTAATTCATCGAGTCTAGAAAAAACCTCAAGAGAATGCAGAAAGCACTGGAAAGCCGTATCGTCCTATATTCGGAACTCATCGGCAGTGCGCATCCACTACCGAGAATGGAAAGCCGGACAGTTACGTTATCAGGCAAACGTCATACCAACTGTACCATCGGGCCTCGGTGACGAAGAGGTAGCGAATCAGACTCAATATAGCGTCGCTCGATCACATATTCCGTGGTGGAACTCATCCGAGTTTCTCTTTTACCCATAGGACTGTGCCTCCACGAGCCACGACTCGATGAATTAATTATCTCAAATCCTCCTAATTTCTATCACTTATATATATATATATATATATATATATATATATATATATATATATCACTTATATATATATATATATATATATAACCAGCAATAAAAATCTTGCCAGCATGAAATAACCCATTGAGGTTGATATGCCGTAAAACAGACCAAACCAAACTTAATATTAGCCGTTTTCATTATAAAGAAACATTCAACATTCATTGAGCCGAGCAACCAATACTTTCGGTTGAAATTTATAAAATATTTCTCTTAAAGCGCTTTTTCAGGAAAATAGATTTCTCAAATCCGGTAGTTGTTATCACTGTTTTAATGTGGGTTTCCATCCAAACATTTTATTTTTAGTAGTGTGGAACGACAACATCTTGATCATGTCATTATTTTCTATTCGAGTCACATGTGACATTGTTGCTTCTCTTGGTAATCTTCAAGTGATTTAGTTTCTGTTATTTGGTACCGTTCTTTGTTTATGATTATGCAGTGTTTGTCGACAAGGTTCGAAGAATGATGATCAACTTCACCAAGACCCTTAGGCTTCTCTCGCTCAGAGCCATTTTTAACCATTGATCTTAGAAAGCAGTTATATAGAGCTGACAGTTTAAATATTTCTAAATAGGTTTGGTGCCATGCGTGATATCCATAGGAAAGATTTGATCTGACGAGTTTAAGAACATGACTCGAGTTTTCAGGTTAATGTTTTCGTTTTGTAGCAATTTGCGGTGTTGGCTGAAACTATCTCTAGCGCAGCCTATTCCATGTTCAGTTTCCTTATCCTTTATACTATTTTTATGACTGATCTATACACCGAGGTATTTAAAGTGTTTGGTATGTACTAATTCTATATCCTGAAATGTTAAGATGGATTCAGGGTATGTGCTATAACTGCTTTCATTCCAATTCCATATCTAACTTTCTGTTTTGGAAAAGGATGTTGATATTCTGTTCAAGATCATTCTTATCCCAACTATATCATCGGCATAGCACCATCATCATCAGTAGATTTGCTTCAAGAGGGAAAGCAGGATCGTTGTCTTGTAATGGTAAATTCGTTTAGAATGTGGTAAGGAACGCTTAATGATCAGTGTCCATCTCTTTACGTGTTTGCAAATGCACAGGGCATAAATTAGGAAGAGATTAAATAGACTGGGGACCCCAATTTCTTCCTTGTCATACTCCCAATGAGGTTTGAAATATTTCCGTATTGAGGTCCTCACCAGACATGTAACGATTTTGTGGACCGATAAAGTTCCTCTGTTAAATTGTTGCATTCAGTGGATTCATAATATGAAAGGCAGTTTCTAATGGACGAGAATATGAAGCCTCTATTTATGTGGACATATGCTGCTGTGAGGTGAGCATAGCAAGTATACAATTTCCTATTTGAGAGGTAATGAATTTCCTGAAGCTGTTTGATAACATATATGTCATCATTAGATCCGTTACCAGAACGAAAGCCAAACAGAGTCGTTAGGAATAGAATGTCATAAGACGACGAGAGCTTAGTTAATATAAGCTACAAGTTGTGAATTGGTCTACAATTGAATGCCTTGATTTTTCTTTTATTAGTAGACTGATTTGTTTATTCATGATCCGAATGAAACCGGAGACTTATGTTTTATAGACTAGGCAAAAAGCTTTTGCTAACGTACGGTACAAAGATCTATTTGAACTATTAGGAAAACTCGATATATTTGTCAAAGCTGTTAGAATAATCCCAAACTTATACTATGAGCAAACCACCTGCATAAGGATACATCAACACTTTCAGAATCCAGTTGCAATACCTCTGTATGCTTCTAGGTCTTGAGATCTACCTTTTTGTTTCCACAGTGCGTTTTTGTTTCCATAGTTCATTTTAGAAGCATTTTCTCATTCTAAACTTCCTTCATAAAATGAGAACCTTGTTATTGAATTCGGAGGGAGGGAGGGTAAGCTATTTTTTAAAATTCAGCTTCAATATCTGTGGATAGTTTATTGTTCTTTGAGTTGTTTTAATACTTTTAATTTCCACATCATTAGGTTTATTATTGTTGGAGATGGATTTTGTAATAATTCGATGTATATTGGTGTATTTTGTTTTATTTCTGCGTGTACCTTTGGTTAAGTGTGATCTGGGCTGAGATGGGATTCAAAGCGTTTATCGAAGCCAGAACATTTCATCTGTGTTGATTTTGATTTTTATGGTGTTATTGCTTGTTTTAGCTTTTTTTTTTCTTACATTTTGACACATTATCTATACTGTTTGACTTCATTAATTTCATTTCCAGTTTACTGGAGATATTGGTCTCTCAGAGCGTTAACTAGGTTTTGTTTTTTTTGTTTTTTTTTTAATATTGATCATTTATGCAGAATTACAGCGAAGAATCCAAGCATTACAAAGAATATGATACAGATCCACCACAAAATAACGCAGTGCAAGACACCATCAAACAAGAAATGAGCCCATTGAGAAAGGCCATGACCATTGTCAAAATGTTGAAATGGTATGGGCACACCATAAGAGCCAACGTTCCTTCGACTTCCATCCTCCGAGTTACAACGTTAGACAAAAGAAGAAGCAAAGTAAAAAAAATGGTTTGACAACGTCATTAAGAGGACTGAAATATTATTCACCGAGACTTAGACATTGACATGCAACCAAGACATGTGGAGGGAGCTGGTCAGATGCTCAGCTGCGCACCGACTCTACAACTACAGCCGACATGAACAGATGATGACTTTGAGGATGAAAAAAGATGGCTACTGGATTGAGCTACAAGTTGTGAATTGGTCTACATTTGAAAGCCTTGATTTTTTTTTCTTTTATTAGCACACCCATTTGTTATATTCATGATCCGAATGATACAGAAGATAATGTACACTTATGTTTTATAGACTAGGCAAAAAGCTTTTGCTAACGTACGGTGCAAAGATCTATTTGAACTATTAGGAAAACTCGATATATTTGTCAAAGCTGTTAGAATAATCCAAAACTTATACTATGAGCAAACCACCTGCATAAGGATAGAATACTGAGTAAGTACGCAAAAATTGAAAGGGGCTTGAGACAAGGATGCGTTTTCTCACCGGTTTATCGACTTCAAAAGCGAAGCTATCCTACGGTATCTAGAGACACTACCAGGATTTATTATTGTTGGCCAAAGTTTTAGCAATGTAAAATACATGGATAATACTGTGTTGGTGGAAGATATAGAAAAAAATCTACAGGAGCCCCTAGACAAGGTAGTAAAAGAAAGCGAGAAGAAAGGACTAGTTATCAACTGTAAGACGACAGGATGTATGGTTTTCAGCAAAAGAAAACGTCCAAGATACAAACTACCAATTTCAGGAGTTAAAATATTTAATTAGAGAAGTTTAAGTATCTGGGAAGATATGGAATATCAAAAGATGCCTTCCAAGAGGTAAACAATTCTTTTAAGAAAACAGGAAGATTTCGTTAGAAACAAAAAATAGAACGTTGAAATTCTATATAATATCAGTCCTCCCATACGGCAATGAATATTGGGCAATTTCCTCATAGATGAAGAGAAAACTGGAGTCAACAGAAATATAGTTCTACAGAAGGATGCTGAGAATACCATAGTCATAACGTGTAAGCGACGAATAAATCTGAAGGAAAATAGAATAAAAAAGGACGCTTATACTCAGAATTAAAAAGAGACAGCGGAAATATCTAAGACATATAAAAAAGTAGAAGGCTTGGAGAATTTGACACTCACAAGACATATCGAAGGCAAAAGGGGTAAGGTAGGCAGCGGGGTTACCTACCTGACTAGCTTGTGGGAATGGATGGTAGAACATGGGTGAAGAATAACAAAAAGATAAACGTTACTAAGAATGGCAGATGATAGAAAGAGAGGAGCTATGAACGCCCATAACCTGAAGAGATATGACACATAGTAGAAGTAGCCAGATTTAATCGGTCTTATTTTCCAAAGGTCACTTGAAAAATGGCGAAATTCAAAAGTTAGCAGCGATGACCTTTAAAAGGATCTCAAATTTGGCAACCCCATTCGTTCTTCCAAACAGCTTGACTTCTACTTTTAAACTAGACTTCGACGGTAAATTCTTTTGTGTCATTCACTGATTGGATATATTTTGGCGTCTCAGCACAATGACGAGTTAATGACTGGGTAACATAGCAATTCTTAACCTTCAATAGTTTATTAAATTGGGAGCTCGTCAGATCCTCTTTTTTTTCCTGTAGGGGGGAGGGGCAACCTTAGCACCGGTAAAAGGTAACTGACTTGTCATGATGCAGCCTGCTTGTCATCTCCGCCCAAATTTGCTTCCATCTTGGATTCTGTTTCTGATGTCACAGTTCTGTGTAAAGTCAAACATCTAATGCTGCTGTTGTTTTTGTTTGTTTTTGTTTTATTTTTTCTATTTTACTATTTTATACTGACTGAGAACAAGTGGTTTTAGCGTAGAACAAGTTATATCTTGAGTTTCAAATTAATGGCTTGCGGGTAAACAAAAAATAGAAACTGCCAAAAATTATATACCAACGAAACAACTGTCCATTCAATAATCAGATTTTTTAATTATTAAATATGATTATCCTTTCTTCAATTTGAATATAAAAATAAGTTTACAAGCTGCACACTTTATAGGATAGTGTTTTTTTTTTTACTCATTCGCCTAAGTTTTTTCTCTGTGAGACATTATGACATAAAAGTGATTGATTAATTGATTGCACATTTATTTGTTTTTAAGGCTTATCAACTATTTATGAGTTATTTAAAGTCGGAAAATATTTTGAATTGTAAAAATAATTCTTTTTTTGTTGTTGTTTTATTTTATGAGTGGATATTGCATTAACAATAGTTTCTTTGACAATAACAATGATTTTTCCAGAAAAAAAGGTTCTACTCTTTTACCTATAGATGGAAGGAAGCTAAAGCATTCCTACCTTTCTCAAAGGAATTAAACTCGGCCCAACAACGAAATTGTTCAATCTACCAATACTAGAAGAGGCGTAGGATGAATTGGATTATTGTCTTTCTGTAACAGAGAATCGGGTCAGACCGATAAAAGACTCCGAGTTGGCGGTATGTGGTGATGTAAGCACCAGGAGTTGCGTCCCCTTCCACAAAGCGCTTTTGAGAGAGTAGGTGGTGCTATGTTGAGAGAGAAGGTAGCGCTGACTATTTACATATGAACGATACTAGGCAGGTATTAGCCAATAGTCAGCGTGGGTCTGGGACTGAGAGAGTTATATATTATCGTCTCCTTGATAAATATCACAGCGGTGAGATTTGAAATCGTGTCTCATGCTAAAGTTCTAGCCACTGGGCCACACGCCCACTATATAACGGCCATAATAATCGAGAAATTTTGTTAAAGAAAAAGATGAGCCCTCCATCAGTATACGAACCTGCGTACCTCTTTGCAGGAGAAACCCTCGTTTGATCTGACGTATATTTAATCTACTAACGGAGGGCGCAACTTTTTCTTTAATAAGATCCCACGAGTAGATGAAAATAAATATACTGTTTAAAAATAAATGGGGGCATTACTCAAATATGGGTATCCACTAAAATATCGTTTAAAGTGCTAAAAATCTCCTGGATTAATAAAATTAAAATCCATTACTTTTTTATATATATATATATATATATATATATATATATATATATATATATTTAGGACCATTAATTTAATAATTTTCATTTTATCGATTTGCATATGAAGTTGGAATGCAGCGAATAGCTGTAGTGGCTTATATATATATATATATATATATATATATATATATATATATAAAAATAACTATATATATATATATATATATATATATATATATATATATATATATATATGAAATACTACAGGTATTCGCTGCGTTCCAACTTTTATATGCAAATCAATAAAAAGATAAGAATTATGAAATTAATGGTCCTAGAATCATATGTTTATATAGAATATCCAGAGAATTCTTGAAGCAGAAGCCTATAAAAAACATGTTGGCCCCTTCATCACCCAAAAAGATCTTAACCTCTGTGAGGACGGAATAATGTAGATGCTTCAAAGATGGCGACATGTAGTGAAGCAAAACCCCCCAAAGTTTTCATATTAGTCAGTTTCTATTTAATTATCTGTTTATCTCAACAAGTCAAACTGAGTATAGTAAAAAAGTTCTTAAATATTTGTAACGACAAAAAATTATATATATACATATATATATATATATGTATATTATTTAAAAAATGAAAAAGTTAATTCCCTTATACTGGGAAAAATCACGTGAATTTTGAACTTTTGAAATCTAGGATGCTGCATATGTAGTAAAAACGAACAGTTGGAATGGTTTCAATTTACAGAAACACATATACAAACTCACAGACAACTTAATCCCCTGAAGATGGTCTCAGATGAGATTGAACGTACTTGGTAAAATAAAAGCTATTTGAAAGAAAAATTTTGGTATATTTCCTAATCAATTTTCTAAGTCTACCATGTAATTAATCCGTGAACTTGAAAGGATCACAACGAAAATAAATTGACATTAAATGTCTAAATGATCTAACCAAACTGTTATATATATATATATATATATATATATATATATATATATATATATATATATATATATATATATACCTGAATGTAATAAGAACGAAAATATTATAAATTCTAACGTTCACAGCATTAATTCAAAAGAGGGCTCAATACCGAGAGTAGAGCAATAATTATTCATTAAATTTTTTACATACAGACAAAATAACTTACTCACGACAAAGTTGGCTACTGTAAGTTGTTTTAACCGTATGTAAAAATTATAATATATGTGTGTGTTTGTCTAGTCTTTTCTGTCTATCTATCTATCTATCTATCTATCTATCTGTTTGCATCTGTCTACCTTAATGTGTTCGTAATTGTTTGCCTCAGTCTGCTGTTCCTATTGATTTCTTTCTGTTCTCTGTCTCTATTTCTATTTACGTAACTCATGGACAATGTTTACATTTATCTAATTCTGTTCCCATCTCTTTCGCTCGTTCAGTTTGTATCTATATTTCAGTGTGTTCCTTTGATTGACAAGCAACTACAGGTCTAAATTGATGTGTCAGTTGAAAGCCATAAATAATAGAAAATCGATTAAATATTGAAGTTGCCCTATGAATGCACAATAAATTATTGGTCCGTTCATCTGATGGCAGCCATTTAAGCGGGAACGGAACAAGCCAGATAGGAGGCTGGAGTTTGAGATATGATGACCAAATTACCGCTTTGCAAATTATATCTTCAGTCACTCAATGATAGGTTTGTGCACACGATGTATAAATCATAAATATCTTATAGATGCGCTCTCTAACGCGTTATCGGTGCCATTTAACATCGTTTTCTGATTCCACTTTCCGTTCGAGACTCATGCGGAAATAATCTACGGATTATAGCACTTGGTTGAGATTGATATCGTCTGGATAAGGAAACTCATTCTGACTAATTTGCGAAAAGGTACCCTGATTTCAAAACAAATTATTTATTTTCACTTACACCCGGTATGTTTTTAACTGTACAAGTTACGGGTCTTCACACTTTCCTCTCTATTTACAAATTCTTCTATCAAAGCCCATGCACTACCCTCTCTCTCTCTCTCTCTCTCTCTCTCTCTCTCTCACATTATCTATCTATCTATCTATCTATCTATCTATCTATCTATCTATCTATCTATCTAAGTCTACTCATATCTAGTTATGTAGCTATCCAAATCTTTTCATTTCTATCTATCTAAGTCTACTCATATCTAGTTATGTAGCTATCCAAATCTATTCATTTCTATCTATCTATCTATTCAAGTCTATCCATATCTATATATCCAAGTTTATTCATACCTTTCTATCAATGTCTATTCATATCTGTCAATCTATCTATCTATTCAAGTCCATTCATATCTATAAATCCAAGTTTATTCATACCTTTCTCTCAAAGTCTATTCATATCTGTCAATCTATCCAAGTCTATCTATCTATCTATCTATCTATCTATCTATCTATCTATCTATCTATCTATCTCAGTCGTTTCATATCTATCTTAGTCTTTATCTATATCTCTGCCTCAATCTATTCATATCCTCTTCTCTTTATATTTTTACTTCAATTTCTCTATTTATCTCAGTCTATTGATATTATCTTTCTCAGTCTATTAATAACTATCACTCTATCTCAGTCCATATCTTTTTTTTAATCATTTTACCTGTAGTTAGGCCATAAAGCCACTAAGATACATGAGGTTACTGGCTGTGACAAAATATGAGAAAAATAAAATCATTATTAATAACAACAGGAACAAAGAAAACAGACGATAACAATTGAAATTGCATTTAAACTTTTGAAAATCAAACTTGACTGGAAAGCCAGACGCCGAAAAGGAGTTCGACAAGTGAGAAGTGCGAGAAAATAAACTGTTAATATAAAACTTATGATTAAATGTAACAATTTCAACTGTAAAAGGGTGAGACCTTGCCGCTAATCTATTACTTCGCATGCGCAATTGGCCCGTCATAAAACGCGCTGCTTTAGCTGCGGCGGAGGTGGTGGTGGCGATGTCTGCAGTGTCAAAGGCGGCGGCGGCTGCTGATGCTGATGACCATGCGAACGCGTTCGTGGATGATATATCTGACCTTAGTGCCATTAATCTGGCGAACAGAAGACGTGAGGGGGAGGGGAGGGGGAGGGGGCTAGGTGTCGATTTGCGGCGAGCAGACTGAGACTTAGATTCATAAAGTCCTGATATCATAGAGAAAAAGTTTATCAAAACAATTACCATGAAAGTATTTATAGAAAAGGCACAGTGAAGCTACATGACAGCAGTGAGGAAAGTGACTGAAACCGAGATGCCAGTTCAGGACCAATAATATCGCAGATTCTTCATTGGATTTTATTCAAGAATCTCTAAAAATAAGCAGGGACACTAGAGTATATATGGCAGAAATATTCAATACACGAACGAATGGTAGACTTATAAATATGTAGGATAGATTCTGGTAAGAAAAATTGTCTAGCACGACAGGGTGCGCTAACTTTGAATGCAGTAGATTTAGCAATTGATTCAAAATAAAATTTTTACTTCATATAAACGGAAAACGTTTGCACCAGAATAGGCGCATTGTTGATGTAAAGCAGAAAAATTCTCTCAGGTGATTTGATAAAAAAAGGAGTTTCGTTTTGACGGCGTTAAAATTAGCAAAACATTCCTTGAATGAATCATTTTTTAGATCAGCTGCCAATATTACCTTATCTAGGTAATCAGACACTCTATCTATCTATCTATCTATCTATCTATCTATCTAAGTATTTGAGTCTTTTTATATCTACCTCTCTGAAAGAGACCATACATATATATCTATGAGTCTATTCAAATCTATCTTTCTCAGTTTATTCATGCCTATCTATCTATCTATCTATCTATCTATCTATCTATCTGAGTCTATTCATATCTATCTTTCTCAGTATATTCATATCTATCAATCTATCTATCACAGTGTATTTATATCTATCTTTCTCGGTATATTCATATCTATCTATCTATCTATCTATCTATCTATCTATCTCAGTCTATTCATATCTATATAACTGTATTTTTTTTCATATCTGACTCTTTTAATATATTTTTACGTACATAATCTTGTTGATATGTATCTTTTGGTTGAAGTATATTCGTGATTTATTTACCAATTGGAATATGCCCGTTTCTATCATACATCATTTGCATATATCGCTCTGAAACTGTTCATATCTATCAATCTATTATTGTTGCTGAAAAATAACTTTACATAACAAGCCAAACTAATATACTCTACTTATCGCTTCATGCACACGTTACTGTAGACAGAAAGTCTCAAAGTCTTCGGACAATACAATCACGTTAATTCTCAATGGTACGTAAATGAAGACCAACGTTTAGGTAGATAAGGACCGGCTACTCGTTTTTCGACCACACCCGTCTTCTACGGTGGGGGCTAGTCAATTGCTGTTTCAGGTGCCTGATGAGGCATATTTGTGTATGTTCAACACCCACAGAGACCAACAACGCTAAGCGGACTATACTTACAGTTTCTTGTAGAGAACGCAAAATCTGAAGCGATCAGCAGTTTTTGAACAAGGCCTCGGTCACGATGACTTGTTATTTCGTGCTAGCACAACCATCCGAACAGTTTCGTTTACCCAATTTCACTCAAAAGGATTGGGTATGTTTTTAAAAGCAATTTTAAAATGTTGCATGCTGGGATTGCCTTCTCTGGTCCCCAATATCAAGCAGTTATCTCCTTGAAAAATCGACCCTGGTGAAATTCGAACCACTACACCACACGTCCATTATTTATATATATATATATATATATATATATATATATATATATATATATATATATATATATATAGTTGTATAGGCAGCAATCTTTCCTTTATGCAATTTTCATTAAACACGACAGACAAGGTACTACGTTTAAGCTATTTATTTAATTTTTCTTGTGTTCGAACAAGAGCTTTCTTTTCTAGACAAAGAGTGTGTAAAAACTGTCCAAATGGTTTATATTTCTGAGCGCTTTCGGCGATACCTTTAGTCATTATCAAGGATGATTCGATTTTTCAGCTTAATTGAGTGTGTGCGTTCTGTGTATGTGTTAAACATTTGGACAGTTTTTACACACACTTTGTCCCCAAAAAAAGCTGTTGTTCGAACACAAGAAAAATTAAATAAAAGGCTTAAACGTAGTACCTTGTCTGTCGTTTTTTAATGAAATATATATATATATATATATATATATATATATATATATATATATATATATATATAGGTGGGCATACAAAGAATAACAATATGAAAATAAAAGCTTCGAGATTCCCATTCTCCTCTTCAGTATCGTTTTCTTCCTAATTGTAGTATTCGACTGTTAAAGGAGGGTGTGTCTACCCACCACAAAAAATGTATTTACGAGGGTGGGGTGAACAGTTCATACGCTGACTATGAAGGACTGAGGCTAGGGCTGTGAAATTTTACATGCATCATTTTCAATTTATTTGTTATGAAAATGGCAAACTCTTCCAAAATAGTTTCGGGAGGTGAAAAAGAAGAGTACAATAATATTAAGTGGAATAATAATATCTAATAAGGTTAAGGAATTAACACAATAGGCTTTAAATTTTAAATGGTGGGTGTAAGCTTCTTCTTTTATGCGTCATGACCCTTTAAGATTTAGACGATCATAACTCTTCACAACTTCTTTTGTACCTCTTCGCAACGTTTATCTTACTATCTGTTGTATCATACCTACAGACGATAATGGGTATGTCCCCATTCACATAAATACAATAGTAAATTCTCTATGTTGGTCTGCAGTTGAAGATTCATCACCATCAAAAATGAGATGGGTACTCGCTACATGGGAGAGGCCATCGGTGTCCTACCCCCCAGCCATGTTCAATCCAGGAGAGCAACCCTAATGGGTTTTCACTATGGCTCTCTGGTTAGCAATTATAAATGCTCGAGGCCTGAAGTCAGAGTCTCGCTTAGCGAGGCTCTCTCGTGTCCTTCAGCGCCTCGGGATGAATGTTTGTTGTATGCAGGAAACCCGGTTTTCTACTCATGACCATAAGAGCATTCTGTCTAGAGGGTTCTCCCTCTATTCAGCATGTTTTGGCGGTCGCTCAAGAGGTGTCTCTTGGCTAGTGAACAAGTCTTTGAAGGCTGCGTGTGTTCTTGTCTTCGCCGATCTGGCGGGAAGACTTTGTGTGCTGGATGTTACCATAAAGGATAAGACTCTTCGACTCATTGGGGTTTATGCGCCCAATAAGCATTTTGAGCGGTCTGCTTTTTTTTTCGTCAGATCGAGCTGTTTTTGACGACATCTTGTCAGGTAGTTTTTGCGGGGGATTGGAATGCCGTCCTTGACCCCGCCATAGATCGTAGTCGGCCAAATTCGGGTACTGACAACCGAGATGTGAAACCATTTCGGGGACATTATCAATAAGTTTGATCTTGTCAATAAATACCGGAATGAGCACCTTCTAGAGGTATTTTAGACTTGGACAAATAGTGGCGGATCGGCTGCAGGGTGCTTTCTAGCTACCTCGACCGAGTCTTAGTTAGAAGAGTCGATGTAGGGCTCTTAGGGTGTCCAAGTTTTCATTATATAGTTTATTCGGATCATAGGCTTGTCCTGATCCGTGTAAACTTAGATAAACCTAAGGTTAGAATGGCTGGTTACTAGAAATTAAACTGCTCATTATTTGGTGAGCAGGATTTCCGGGACCAGCTGACTAACTACACAGGAATTGAGTAGTTAGGGAATACCTGGGGACAATATAAAATCAAAAAAGAATGTTGCTGGGTCGACTCAACGAATTAACGGCAAACGCTTTGTGAGCAAAAATTGCGTGATGCAGAGAGTCCTCCCTTGTTTAACAAGAAGGATCAAGCGTTAGGCTAGGTTAAAAAGAATGTGAGGCGACGAATATGTGCGGATAAGCGGACCGACATATAGCGTGCGTCACATTACCGGACAAGCGGACCGTGACTACAAACGCGGGCAGATGTGAGGCTTTTCGGGATTACTTTCAGGAACTTTTCACCAGGGGAGCTCGATCTGAGCCCTGCTCAGTTCGAGGCCTATTTAGCCGACTTTCTCTGCCTTGAGGCAGCTGAAGCGGCTGGGTGCGAGGGTTCCATCACAGAGTCGGAAATCTGGGAAGCGCTGAAACAAGTTGACCTGGATAAATCTCCGGGGTTAGATGGTCTTCCCTACTAAGTTTATTTGAGGTAGTCCCGTTTTTGTTCCTTTGCTGGAACTGATTTACAACAGCTGGATGAAGCAGGGGTCAACGCTTCATCAGGGGTGTGATCAAGTTGCTGCGTAAGGACAAGAACGGCTTAGATAACTTTCGCCCTTTAACCATGTTAAATACAGACTTAAAAATTTTGGTAAAGATCTTTGCGGTTGTCCTGTCTAGTCTGATTGGCTCCGAATAGACTTGTGAAGGGCAGGAATATTCAGGAAAACCTTATTATGGTACGCTTGATCCTCGAACAAGTCGACAGTGAAGCCACGCTGATCAATTTTTATCAGTCCAAGGACTTCGATAGGGTTGACCATCGATTCCTGGAGGCTGTCCTTTCCGCGGCCGGTTTCGGGCCGGAGTTTCGCACCTGGATCCGACTTTTGTATGCGACCCCCGGTGCACTGGTGGAAGTGAATAGGGTAAGATCGGAACCTTTTGTATTGTCTCGCTCCATTCGTCAAAGCTATCCGCTTTCACCTTTGCTTTACGTTCTTGCGTTGGAACCTTTCCTTCGCAAGACGAATCCGATCCTATGCGGAATTTCCCTGCCTGGTGCTACCACGTCGGCCAGGTATTCTGCCTATGCTGATGACATTTCGGTTCTTGTGTCGACCAGAGCCGAGAATGATGAAGTCAGCAAAGAAATCAGTGGTTATGAGATGGTGACTGGGGCCAAGATCAACTGCGATAAGTTTGTTGGCTTGCGGTTGGGTGCGTAGAAGGGAGTTTCTCTTCCCAGACCTTTACTCGGCGTCTGGTTTGGTCCTGATCTCCACTTGGAAATGAATTGGTTGGAGGTACAAAGGAAGGCCGAGATAGCAGTTAATCTGTGGTTTCGGAGGAAGCTTTCCTTAAAGGGGAGGACGGAAGTATGTTTTTCACACATCTACCCGATTCTCCTTTACCGACTCTCTGTAATTCCTCTTCTGTCTACCACACTAATGTCATTAGTAAGGCTCTTGTTTTCTATGGTATCGGGAGATCTTTTGCCTTCATCCACCTGAAGGCGTCTGGGTATGCCTAGCATTGAGATTCGTCATTGAGATCGCATCGCCTTCAGACCGAATGTGTCGCAAATCAGATGAGGATGTCTTCTAGAAGGAAGACGCCCGTAAGAACTTCCCATCCATGAGAAGTGTGCACTCGTGCGAGGACGAGGCCCACCGTTTACCCCGAGCCGAATGCTCTTTTCTATCGCGAAATGTCGTCGTGACTCTGAAACGCTTCTTATCAGGCGTCAACATCCAGGCGTTGTCTCGTCGGATGGCCTCTCCGACGTCCAGGCCTTATCTCGTGATGATCTGATTGACAAGCTCGGTTTTACGAAGCAGGAGACTCTCTAAATATGGCCTTGGGCGCCCGGGTTGAAATGCCTCAATAACGATGAGGTATCACTCACCTGGCTGATGATTTGTGGGGCCCCTCTGGGTCGCCAAAACCTTCGTTCGGCGGGCTTGGAGAAATCTCCAAACTGCCGAAGCTGTAGTGTGGAGGTCGAGACCTTGGGTGATGCTTTCGTTCATTGCAGGGTCGTAGTGCCGTTTTGCAGGTTTGTTGAAGGCCTCATGGTTCGCATACTGCGTGGAAAGTTCTTTGTACTTGAAGCCAGTTCTGTTTGTAGCAATGTGGTACTGCCGATGACGAAGGCTGAACACTATGTGTTCTTATGCTTGCTAGGTGTTATGAGAGTCGTGATTTGGACGACATCTCAGAAGGGATTCTATGAAGACGAGAAGTTCACTTCTTCCCAACTGATCTTGTTCTTTAAGCATCAGCTTAAAGTCAAGATTAGAAAG